ACCGGACGCCGCCGCCGCTCCGTTGGTGCATGTCGCGGTTACTGCCGGGAGAGTGATGGTGGCGACGACGGGGCTGGTCCAGATTTCTGTCGTGGTGACGTTTTGGGTCACGGTGGGCGGTGCCAGGGGAGTGGTGTAGACTATTTCCACCGAGGTGATCAAGGGTTCCGTTACGGTTACGGTTGTCCAGGTCGTGCTGTTGATGTTTCTGCTCATCGTGGGCTCGCTGAGGTACGAGGAGACCTCCACGATGGGAGCGGTCGACGTCGGGACCGGTGTGACTGCCGTGTTGCCATATTTGACGGTGCGAGAGCTGTGAAATCCCTCGCTGATGAAGGACGTGGAGAACCAGGTCGTTGTACGGGGTAGGTGTCGGGCATGGATGCCGAAAATGAAGAGGAGCGCAGTCGTGGGAGCTGAAAGCCGCATTGTAGAAAGTTAGTACAGAGACCTCTAATTCAGCAGGACATCAGTATTAGCAGGGAGTCCGAAAAGTACCTGTTAGCTACATGTATTTTGATGGGTTATATGCTTCAGCGCCATACTAACGGTGTTGACTCTTGAGACCCACACGTCACAGTCCGGTGAAAGCTGAACGGGTGATTTGATGGGGTATGTAACATGCACAGAAACCCTCAATACCCTATCGTTGTGGTCCGGGTGGATCTGAAAGCAAGTAGTATCTGATAAGGGGGTCCTCTGGCTATATATTAACCGACGCGGACTCAAGCGCCCCGAAGGCGAGGCCAGTACTTCCTGTACCTATTTTCGACTTTGTATTAGCCGCGGAACGTTGCATGTGTCCCGGCGTTGAGAAGAGAGGAGCCTCACGTTCCATTGCAAACATGAACCAACCCGTTGACACCGTCACCGAATGTGTTACCTAACCGAGGATACCTGTTGTTTGTCGACTTGCTAGAGCTGCACGTCTAGTAATGAAGCGCCTTCTCCACGGGTTCGCAATGCTCGACAATGCTCCGGCTTTTCTTTGGCACTCCTAGTATTGATTGACGAGGGTCCTCAACATGCGGTGCACGCCGAAGAGGGCAATGTAAACGTTGTCCGTTGGTTGGGCTGTGTTGGACTATGGAATGGACGTTGATTTGATCTGTCTTTGTAAAACCTTGCTACTTTGTTAAGCGTGTTTGACCTCACGGAATCTCTTAATACTGTCCTTCTCAGAGTGCAGGCGGAATGTGGTTGAGAGTGGTGCAGTCCCTGTCGACTCCACGGCGCAACAAAGTCAAAGGTTGCCTCCAATATCCATTTTCCACCCAGGACATTGCAATTCAGACTGTGCCTATTTCAATGCCCATCTAATAACTCGCTGGAATGCACCACACAATACAATACGCTGGACACAGCAGAAACCCTTGGAAATCCAAGTCCCAACCCCAGTTTGAACATCACTACAAGTAAGCCCCTCCCCGAATTACCAGTGACAACATACCTCCCATCTGAAGGAACAGGGAAATGTAACTTAACAAAGACCCCTCTTACGGAATATCGTACCCTCCGCGATCAGCTAACCCATGCGGGACAGCGGGATCCCGCGCTTCTTGGCGTACCCAAACAGGTGATATGGTCAAAACGATCGGGGCACCACTTCTGCTTCTCCTTCGCGTCGCCAAGCGTTTCCGTGGCGGTGTGCTTGAGGGTCTTGAACGAGGAGCGTCGAAATTGCGCCGCGATCATGTAAAAGGCCATGATCAAGCCCAGATTCGGGATGCTGCCGCTGCTGCTTTGAAGAAGTCGGCGCATCACAACAAGGGCGGGTAGCAGCTGGTCCTGGAGCATTGGATGCGGCGGCAGCCGGGGTGCTGGTATCGGGCCGAGGAGGCGCTTTGGTCAGGGTGATCCGGGACTGCGTTGATGAGTTGATGAAGCACGTCGCGACGCGAAATGTCGCTGGATTGCTGCAGCTGTGTCTGTTCTTGTAGCCGTCGGAGAAACTCGTGGGCAAAACTGGATGGTTGAGTCATGGCGCCACCAAGAACTGGTCTCGACAAAAACTGGGAGAGAGAGGCGGTGACGGCGTGGATGGTTTGACCAGGACTGGCTTAACGGAGATATGATGATGGTTGGTGCATTTCTCTCCAAGTTCGACTGAAAGGGTGGTGTCGGGCATCACGCGATACCAAGTATCGCGACTCCAACCACCCAAACTCGGCCCTTTGGCACCACCTGAGTCGAGTTGCAGAGAGGTCCATCCCAAGCTCCAAGTTCTATTGGTCAATCAAGAATTCTGTATCGGATGAGAGAAACCCGTAGCCCGCCGTGCATTTTCAGGGGGCACAATCCGCCTCGTTTCTGACGTAAACATTTGCCCCTTTTTGTGCAAGGCCGTCGTTATACTGTCAACAACACTTTTGGCCTTGGGGGTGTTAAACATGAAATGTAAAAGAAATTCACGGTTGATTGAATGTGCCTTCAATTATCGAAGCTAATCCATTACACAAGACAAGACACCTTACCTAGAGGTTGACGAGCACACCGGCCGCCGCACCAGCCAAAACCGCAGCCATCACTCCTGCTACGTCCGCTGCCCTCCTCGGAGCCGCTGCCGCCACCTGGGCGGGCGCAGATGCCCCCGACCCAACAGGGCCCGCGGCCGTCACCGTGGCGGTCACCACCTTCGAAGTGGTAGGATTGGGCGTCTTAACCCCTGACGTAAACGGCACACTATTAGTCGCCTCGGCGCCGCTGAAAGCAGGCTTCTGCGTCGCGGCGGTGGGATTGGGTGTGGCGGATTCGTTCTCTGGGTTCAAGACACTGTTCACACAACGCAATCAGCGAACAACATTCACCCGAACCCAGACGGCAAAGATACATCTTATCAATGGCTTACTTGTCACAAACATGAACAACCCCATTGCTCGTCAGCAAGTTCCGCCTCACAATCTTGGCACTGTTGACGAATATCCCGCCATCCTCCTCCATCCGGATGCGAACATCGTTTCCCTCGGATGTGGTCTCGGTGCCGTTGCTCATGGCGGCCGTGTACAGCACCTTGCCGCGGATGATGTGGTAGCCCATAATGGACGCCAGTTCCGACGACGTCATGCCCGAGACGACGCTGCCGACCGCGTTGAAGGCCGCGTTGTCGGGCGCGAACACGGTGATCTCGTCCTCGCCGTCGACGCTATCTATGAGTTTGGCCCGCTTCAGCGCGCCGACGGCCGCGGTCAGGTTGGCGTTGATGAGGGTCTCGGTAACGTTGGACGGGATGGTCAGGACGCCGTCGACGATGTGGATCGTGCCGCCGGTGAAGTTGTAGTCCTGTGTCATCCAAATTTGTCAGTGACTGGATGGTAGGAGGGGGGAATGGGGTGGTTGTACCCCTGATCGAACAGACGCAGAGTTCCCCATGCCAGAGACAAAAGTAATAGCACCACTCCCATCAGCGTTTGCCTGCACTCTCTGCCCGCCCGTGACGTTGGTGTATGCCGACGCATTCATCAGAGTCTGGACCATTACCGGCGCCGACTGCGGCGCTGTGGTGAAGTTGGATGAGAAGTACACCCCCTGAAAGACGTGGTATTTCAGGAACGCGGCGATCAGACCCTCGTCTGTCGCCATTGCGTCCATGAGCTCCGAGTCGTCGGCCAATTGGTTAAGGGCATCGTTGCTGGGTGCTAGGACGGTGATGTCGGTGGCGTTGCTCAGCTCGTCGAAGAGCTCAGCTTGACCGGCGAGGAAGTTGTTGAGAACCGAGAGTGTGTTGTTGTTCTCGTACAGCACGTTGGTGAGAGTCTTGGCTGAGATTCCGATGGCGGAGTAGGATATTAACAGCGAGTGTCTCAATAGCACCATTGTGGTGAGAAGTCTGTGATATGGTGTGGTGTGCGTGAGGAGATAGAAGCGCGCCCGGGATTTGCAAAAAAGGAAGGGAATCACGGCTAGCGAGCGGATGATCGGAAAATCTGCCCAGGGCGGAAATCTTGGTTTCACTTGGAGAGAGAGAGAGAGAGAGTATCACGATTTTCCTGCAAAATCACAAGATAACAGCATTCTGACTCTGGGGAAGTGGCATATAAGATGCCCTTTTGTGGAGTGAGTGCCCTGCATCATCTGCCGTTGCATGCTTGCACAGGCTTCCGATTTCCCTCTTCAGTCAGAGGAATGGGCCCTTTATTCGACCCTTCTTGCATTGCATGCAAGACTTGATGACTATATGACGTTCAAAAGGCGATGTGGCTTACTGAGAAGCAGGTCAGCGTCGACAACCCGAACAAAATGATAGCGGGTCTGCAGCCTTGAAGGCGAAGTGCAGGATGCGAAGAGGGCCATGCCATCATTCCTGGGTCACAATTGCACCACGACAGAGACTGTGATATAGACTGTTGAGTTTCGGCAAAAGATCTTAATACCAAGTTTGGCAGCTTACTTGCCTGGCGGGCTGGGTTGCGGAACCACCAATAACCCCGATGATTCGTGTTCAAACATCTCTGGAGGGCATCCGTCGTTCCAAGTCATGCACGATGTGGTCCCTAGCTTTGGCCTTGCATGGAAGGCAAAGAAGGGACCACCTTGTTGCGCCACGTCCTTGAAGTATAATCTTAATTCGGATGTTCGGATGCTGGCACCTGATTTGCCAGAGAATAGATTTTTTTTTTTTTGCAAAACGGAGAGAACGTCATGTTGAAGTTGCATCATCATAATGCCTTGAAGGTCGGAGAATCAGTACAAATGGTGGCTGAAGCCTCATTCTGCCATCGATGAGCCGAGTAGGGGAATCGATCACATCCGCAGTTGAGGCACATCCCGACCGGCCGGGACCAAATTAGTACGCTAGCTAGATAGACTCGAACTATACGCACGAGTCTTTCAAGGCTGAATTAGTTCGGGACAAGTGCAAAGCCCGGCAATCCGCGAGTAATAAAACCACTCACATTAATACCATGCAAAAATCACGTGGCGATGGATCAGTTAGTGAACCGCTTGCCAGAGACAGAACAGCAAGCAATATGCCAAAAAGCAAAAGAAAATAAATATTAATTAGGTCGTACCCGGAATCGAACCGGGGTTACCAGAAGAACTGACTGAAAGTGTTTTGTCAGAATCTGGTGTGATGACCGCTACACTATACAACCCTTGTGACTCGCGAGTCATTTCTGTGTTGTGTGGGAAACGGGTTGGTTAGGAGGTTATTTGAGTGGATCACTCACTGGATTCTTTTTGTCAATTCAAGTTGTGAAGGCAGCCAGCCCCACAGTCAATTCTCACCATGTGCATTCCCATTATATATCGTATGTACCTTATATATCACATTCAGTATTATTATTCCTTGTTGTATCATCATATGCTAATTACCTATCCAGACCCTCCATATCACATCCTTCCTCGTCGCTCACACATCTCAGGATACTTTCTCCAATCTCACCCTCAGCGCCGCATTCTCCACCGCCAGAACCGCCCCCTTCGCGTCGATATCGAAGATAAACATATCCAACGGTTTCGACCCGTACACGACCGATGTGACGCCCACCCAGGTCGCACAGTCCGTCGACATGGACCCGACTTTGGTGGGCAGACTGGTGTCCTCAAATACGGCCTTGAACGCCACCCGCTTCCCTCCATCCGGCCTCGCTTCCTCAAAGGTTGTCGGGTAGAGCCGCACGCTGGGCTTGACCTTGTCAAAGTACTCCTCGGTGATGTTGGACCCGATCGCTACAGCAATAAAGCTCATGTCCACGCCGTTGTTGGTCCAGTTTGCTATGCCCATGCCTGGTTTGTTGGAGTCTGTGCTGATTGTTAGGGTTGCTGAGATGGGTGTTGTCGAGTTTTTGTATTTTCCGCCGCTGGTTGTGGTGTTCGTGGAGTTTGATGACGGGCCGGTGTATCGGTACCGGCCGGCGTAGGTGGCATTGGCTTGGGCGCGGGCGACATACATGAGCGTTGGGATGTAGGTGCTCGTGAGCGTGTCGGCGATGTCCATGGCCAGTCCTGGGGGCGGGTCGCCGGCTGCGAGGACGCTGAAGCCGATATCCAGTTCCGGGATGATGGCGAGAAGGGAGGTGTAGGCGCCCAGGCTGCCGAGTTTGTTGAAGGTGTGCACGAATTGGTAGGATTGATTCTGGCCGAGGTCAATTTGCCTAACGCCCCATGGCATTCCCACCATTGACTTTGGGTCGGATGTGAAGGCGGTTGGTTTCAGCCAGCGACGGGTCATGGCCGGCTTCAGAAGGGTCGATCTCATGATAGCCCTGCCCACTGCAGATAAGTCGCCTGCTGACGTGTACATGTTTCCGGTGCTTTGATGCGGGTCATCATGTCAGTAACTAGGTACTTATCCCATCGAATAAGAGGGATTGTAATTGAAGAACTTACGCAGCTTCCTCGGCAAGCTCAAAAGCCCAGGATGTGCTGTACCTATTGCCCGGAATGATTCCCATGGAGTCATCCGGTGCCGAGACGAACGTGTGCGTGAGATTCAGGGGTTTTAGGACAGAGTCTTTGACCAAGGACTTGAAGTCTTTTCCCGTGATCTTCTCGGCAATGTGACCCAGAATAACGAAGCCGAGATCTGAGTAGGTGGGAGTTTCGCCGGCCGGAAAGGACGGCGGAAGCTTCCCAAGGCCGGCGTAGAGCTGCTCACGGTTACACGTCGGGTTGATGCCGCACGGTGGGAACTCTGTGAGTGGAATTTTAGGGAAACCCATGTCATGGAGATCATCCAGGGAAAGTTGGTAAGCAAGCTCTCCCAACAAGGCGTCTTTTGCATGCATGTGGTCAGCAAGAACTAAGTTCGCCGAGTCATTGGGTCTGCTTACAGTCTCGTATCAAGCCAGAGGTCTGGCTTGCCAGCGATCCGACCGTGATGGACTCCCAATCAGGCACAAACATCGAGCCGCCCGGCGTCTTCTTGGCCATGGCTGCAATTTCGGGTATGTACTTTGTCACCGGATCGTTCCAGATGCCGTCCCCCACCGCTGCCAGGAAGGTGAGCACGGTGAAGATCTTTGTGATGCTGCCTATCCGAAACACAGTGTTTGTGTCGACCTTCTTCACGCCGGAATTGTTGAAACTTTGCAAGTTTGGCGCTGTCCAGTAATGTGACCATAGAGCCTCGGTTTCACTGCCGGAAAAGACCTCGACCGAGTAGGAGAACTTGTCAGAGCCGGTGCTATTGTCGTTGTCGATGTATTTGGGGAACAGGCCGTCCAGAGTCCTGGCAGCAATCTGAAAGGCTTCATTTTGAACAAGATTTGTTGGTCTTGGGAGCAGAGGCCCATAAAGCGGACAATTCGCTTTTGCGTTGGAGATGGGAAACTGGGCGATAGCGGCGAGGAAAAACAACAATTGCCACATTTTGAAGGAATATTATGTATGACCCTGGGCTGCCGTAGCTGAACAAGGGTTGCGGAAATGGGCAGAAGAACGGCTAATCTAGAGGCTCCTCAACATGGCGAGTATTAGCAAAACCACTTGTTGATGTCTAGGCAGGTGGATATAATCTCACTTGTCCAGCTCAGTTATCATTTGACCGGAATGGGAGCGAATGTCGGACAACCTAACCCAGAGTTCCGGGCTCAAGACCTGTGTAGAGCTTATAACACAAAACAGATATTGAGCAAGGACCTCCACCTCATGATATTGTCCGAACAAAACCAAGACGGGTAGCTGTATTAATAGAATAACGCAAAGAAGTTATGAGCATGATAGTGGAAGGATTGACCCGGTACGTGTGCAGACGGGGACGATGAATGATAAAAAGGCCCAGGGCATCCCCACGTATACACGGGACGGGCGCACGATGGAAGATCTGCAAAGCTCCCGGTGGCGGCCGGGCACTGGGACGATAGGAAGAAGAGCCGGAAGTTCCAGACCTTCGCTTCTCGCATACGGGCTGGTTGTTGAACGGAAATGAGGAACCGCTGGATGTATATCCGTCTTTACGAATGTCGACTTTTGGTCCGGATGGAGGCGAAACGTTCCTGATGTTGCCAAGAGGGGAAGCAGGTCCCGAAAGGGAACATTGAACACCACGGTGACATCCACGGCTGTCACTTGGTGCAAGCAAACGACTTTGAGCCGAATGGGACTTGGCAACATCTGCAACCACACCACAGCAGACCGGGACCTGGAAGGATCGCAAAATACAATACGCTATGTTGCGGCTACCCCTGGCTCGGTGTGCACTTCGTGAACCGGGCTTCTGGTTCAAAACGCTGTCTATGTGACCGGGTTCTCCCCACTGATACCTGGGTTTATTGTCCTTTCCCAATGAACCGACGGATATTAGCCTGTGTATATATGGCCCTCGATATAGACTGTTTTTTGAGGGATAATATTGCGGCTGAAATGAATAGCAATCTAATTTCTGGTGGAATGAACCGTTCCGTCTGGTAGGCTGACTTTATGGACGGACTGCGAGGTGAATATCTTATCTTTGCGGATAAGAAACGAACGGGGAAATATGAAGTCTAGAACGACCATACCAAAGCAGGAACATCAACCCCTTATCTTCAATCTGTGCTTGACGATGGATCATTGTAATGTCGTCATTACGCATCTGGTTGATAGCAAAAACCTCTGTACCTTTGGCCATGTCAAAATATTAATGAAGGTCCTTACGTCGAAAGTCACCAAGAACAAAAAAACGAAAGCAGTCTCATCAATCGCGATAACCCCATTTCCAGTCCTTCATATCCATCAACTTTTTAGCCTGCCGGGCATTTTCCACTTTCGGTCCCCGGCGAGCAACCAGCCAGGCTCCCAGCAAAACAATGGCGGTCAGGGGGCCCTCAATTGCCCATAGCAGCCATTGCCCATTCTCCATGTCCCTGATGTCGTTGGTGTTCATGCTGAGGTAGCTCGTGGACGACGAGAGCGGCGGGAAGATGATAGTGACGATGGTGAAGACGAAAATGACGACGCCCCTGTCCTTCGGTTTTGATCCTCGTTTTCCACACGAGAGCCGTCTGGAAGATAGGGGAGCGCCGGTCAAAGTAGGTACTCAGCAAACGCCATGCTCAGAGATGCTGGCCGTGGGAGAAAACACAAATCGCACTTCCGGCTCGGTCACGAAGATGGACTCTCACTGACGCTCCTCTTCGCGATCGAGATTATTTCTTATTAACGGTTTCTTTCGTTTACCCATTCATAGGTGGTCTGTCTTGGTGTTGGGCCTGCCATCTTTAAAGACGTGGCGGGCCGGGAGTCGAACCAAGCTGCCGGTACAGTTTGGATAATGCTGGTGAAGAAAGCCATGTACAGGGGTGGATACACTTAAAGCACGGCATACGAGTAATCACGACAGGCAGAAAACATGGAGACGACATGCATTTACTAGAAGCTATGGGAGCAATGGCTACGGGGGGATGGATACCCCTATCTGTGGTTCCGTACAGGGAACAGAAGAACAATTCCCAGACAGAAAGGAAAGAAAACAAAACCCGAAACTCCCAACCCCCAAAATCTCATATCCTCACTCGTCATGTCGTCTCTCGTCTCTTGTCTCTCGTCTCTCATCTCTCGTCTCTCGTCTCTCATCTCTCGTCTCTCGTCTCTCGTCTCTCGTCTCTCGTCTCTCGTCTCTCGTCTCTCGTTTGGCGCTTCAGCAAAGTTGATCAAGCGTCGGCAGCAGAAACAACTCGCGACAGCTTGCTCTTGGGCGGATTTCCGCCGCCGAGCATGCCACGGGCCGGATCACCCGGGATGTAATCAGGATGGTCGGGGTACTGGTTATTCGGAGGAATAAGGCCAGGCTTGCCCAAGTTGTCGCCCAGAAGGCGGCGCAGCACCTGGGAGACGATCCAATCATTCTCAACCGTGTCACCGCGCTTCTTGAACAAGCGCTTGCGCTCAGTCTTCCAGGCCGAGATTTTGTTTTTGATCCGGCGCAGCAGCGCCCTGAACTTGCGGTGCTCTTGGTGGAGCTCATCAATCTCCTCCTGGGTCAGGGTCGGAGTCGGAACCACGGCCGGGACTACCGTCGGATTGTTGCCGTGGGTGCTAGCCGCAGACTCGTTGCTGTCGTTGTCGCCAGTGTGACGGTTGGTGCCCGAGGGGCCGCCGTTGTTGCCGGTCTCTAGCTCATCCTCAACCGAAGGCTGACGACAGCCATCGTGGCTGACAGGGGTGGTGGCTG